ATAATAATAATCAATCATCTATCTTAAAGGACAATAATTCTAATTTTATTAACAATCAAAATCAGTTTAAATCAGCACCCTTACTGATTTCTACTAATGAACAACCAAACTTAAAGAAGCTATGGATATAGTTTACTGTAATGCCAGTGTTGATAAAACTCTGTTTTATTTAATTCTGGATACAGGATCACTTACAAGTGTAATGTCAAAAGCTTTTGCTGACAAATTAAATTGGTTTATTGAAAAACCATCTAATCTTTATTTTTCTGATATTAATGGTAGGAAAAATAATCACTGGGAATTATTAATAATATACCCTTCAATTATCTGATATCACTATCTCTATTAATGTGAAAGTAAATGATGTTCAAAGTTATACTATAATTGCTAGAGTCAATTGGCTTAGTAAAGTAAAGGACATTATCAATTTAAAAAAGAGACAATTTAAATTTACTTAGAAAAACAAATCTTATATTTACCTATTACATGTTGAGAAAAGCCACAATATAATAATAGTGAGCATATTTCTTTAAAAATTCTCTCTGAGTCTAATAACTCAAATAATCAAACTTTAGTTATTGAAACTAATGAATATAGTGAGGATGAATATGAATTATCTGATGATGAACTGGAGAAATCCAAAGGATTTTTAGTTATAGGAAATTCTGATAAAAAACCTATACTTGAAATCAATAATACTCAAGTTAAATACCAAAATGAATCTTTTGATAACTATAACTTTCATTCTAAGCAAGGCAGTAATCCTTGAACTATTAAATGTTATTGTGCTTAGCTACAAAAAACATGTCTAAAATGTATACAAATGAGAGAAGCAATAAGTTGTTTTACTACCAAGAAGAACTTTGAGGAAACAAATTTGTTTTCTGAAAATAATTTACAATTACAACAATTTTTAACTGAAAATGATCATATGTTCTCTAAAGGAATAGATAATCTAGACAAAACAACTATAGACTAACATTAAATCATTACTGAAAATGTTCCATCTATTTATCAAAAAGCCTACCATATGTCTTCAGCTGAACATAAATTTATTTAACAGGAACTCTTTTTGATGCTTGAAAATGGGCTTATAGCTCTATCAAAAAGCCCATGGGCCTCTCCGTTGTTTTAGTGAAAAAGAAAAATGGTAAATTAAGGCTCTGTATTAATTACAGGAAGCTTAACAAAATTACCAAATGAGATGTTTATCCTTTATCACAAATTGATAAAATTTTGGATACTCTTAAAGGTGCTAAATGGTTTACTACTCTTGACTTGGCTAGTGGATATTGGCAAATTAAAATGAAGCCTGAGGATCATGAAAAAACTGCTTTTATTACCAAATATGAGTTGTTTGAATTTAATGTTATGCCTTTTGGTTTAACAAATGCACCTGCTACTTTTCAACGAGTTATGGATAAAATCTTTTCTGATCTTAAAAACAAATTTATTTTAGTATATCTTGATGATATTACTATCTATTCAAAAACTTTTGAGAAGCATTTGAAGCATCTTAAGGAAGTTTTTAAACATCTTCAAAATGCTGAACTAAAATTAGAAAAGGATAAATATTGTTTTAGAAAACAACAATTAGCCTTTTTAGAATATATTATTAGTAGAAATGGTGTTGCTCCTGATCCATCGAAAATTGATAAAGTTCAAAACTATCCTGTACTCTATAATCTTACTGAACTCCGTAGATTTATTGGCCTAGCTTCTTATTATCGAAAGTTTATTTTAAACTTTTTACGAATTGTTAAACCTTTAAACAAGTTGTTAAAAAAGGATACACCTTTTGTTTGGACTGAAACTTGCCAATAAGCAATAGATATTCTTAAGGAAAAATTGACAACTGCATCTATTCTTCAATACCTTGATTTTACAAAACCTTTTATTCTTTATACTGATGCTTCATATTAAGGTTTAGGTGCTATTCTTGCTCAAAAGGATGATGACAACTATGAGCATGTAATTGCTTATGCTAGCAGGTCCCTAAATTCTGCTGAAATCAATTATTCTTCAACTAAAATTGAATGTCTTGCTGCAGTATGGGGAATGAAATATTTCTGACCTTATATTTACCTTAAATCTTTTGAACTTATTACAGATCACTCTGCTTTACGTTGGTTATTAAACCAATCTAACCCTAACAAACAAATAATTCGATGGATTCAACAGATTGCTAATTACCCCTACACAGTTATACATCATAAAGGACGAGTTCATTCTAATGTAGATGCTCTTTTTTGTTTCCTTAGAAAACCACCCTAAGGAAATATTACAAAGCTTTAACCAAAATGAAACTTACACTCTATCACAACTTTCTTAACTATTTAACAACTTCAGAATTACTCCCAAACTTGAATCTAAAGAAACAACAACAATTTAAAAAACAAGCAACACACTATATTATTGAAATAATCAATTATATAGGAAACCAAAAGGGTCATCACAAAAACTATTATGTGTAGTACAGGAATCTGAGCTGCTTACTGTACTGCATAGTCTATATTCTGACCTTCTTGCTAGATATTTTGGCATTGATAGAACTTATAATCGTGCTAAAAACAAATACTATTGGCCTAAAATATATAAAAGTATTACAAACTCTATTCAAACATGTGATACTTGTTAACATCAAGGAGAGACAAAACAAAACAAATTTTTATATCCATTACTTGTCTCAGCTTCATTTCATCAAGTTGGAATTGATATTATTAAACCTTTAAAAATTACTTCTAGTAGAAGTCGATATATTATTGTAGCTATTGAATATCTAACCAAATAGCCTGAAGCTAAAACCATATCTAATATAAAAGCTACTACTATTGCCAAGTTCATCTATGATGAAATTATTGTTCATCATGGATGTCTACAGGAATTGTTATCTAATCAAGGAAAATTTTTCTGCAATACTTTAGTCAATCCTTTTTGTCAACTAATGAATACTAAACATCGACTTGCTTCTGCCTATCATCCCCAAACTAAT